CTCCCAGAGCACTGGGGTTACAGGTGTGCCAATACACCCAGTTATTGGGGGGTCTGACCCAGAGCTTTGGGCATGCCAGGGAAGCTCTCTACCAACTGAGCTATACCCCAGCCTCGGCTTTGCACCCCAAGCTGGCCTCCAACTCCTGCTCCTCCCGAGGGCTTGGGTTCCAGGGTGTGTGCCACCACACCCTGCTACATCCCCCCCATCTAATCTCCACCACAAGGATATGGAACAGCTCTATTGTAACAGTCCATAAAGCAACAGGTGAAAAACACTGAGTGAAGAGATCCAGGAGTAATGACAGAATTGAGGGTGAGATTAAAATAATGCCATGGTGAGCGGAGTGTGAAGGTCCTTACCTTCACTACCAGCATATTATAAACATTACCAGCTCCCTCTAGCCCATCTTAGAGAATGTTGAAATGGAAGATACTTAATGCAGAGAAGAAAAGTCAGAGACCATAGAATTGCTATTTTCCAGGGCAGAAAAATCTAACTTACAGCTCACTGCTATCGCCACCTGCTGGACAGTGGTAGAATTGCCACTGATATCCACTGACACAGTAAGGGATCCAAGAAGTTTCAGTTTATCTTTCACACAAAGCAGAACTCTTAAATCAGATAGGGTTGTTACATGGGAAAGATTGCAGAAGGGAATATAGTGTCAGTTGTCTGTAGCCTGAATCATCCCCCATGTTTCGTGAAGTTAGGGCATCTTTAATTTCATTTAATTTTTCAAATCCCTCTCCCTTCCATCCTCCCATGCCCCTCACCTACCCCCATCCCATCCCTCTTCTGTCCATAGAAAGTGTAAGGCCTTGCACGGGGGATCATCAAAGTCTGTCACATCGTTTGGGGCAGGGCCTAGGCCCTCCCCTGTGTGTTTAGGCTGAGAGAGTATCCCTCTATGTGGAATGGGCTCCCAGTGTCCATTCGTACACTAGGGATAAATGCTATTCCACTATCAGAATCCCTATAGACTGCCCAAGCCTCCTATCTGACACTCTCGTTCAGGAGTGATTTCATTTAACTTTTAATTAATTATTTATTTTGTGTATATGCATGCTGGTACATCTGGAGAAGGTAGAGGACAACTTCTAGAAGTTGCCTCTCTCCTTCTATCATGTGGGTCTCAGGAACTGAACTCAGATCACTAGACTTAGCAGCAAGCTCCTTTACCTGCTGAGCCATCATCTTGCCAGCCCCTATTTCATTTTTAATTTTTTTTTAAATTTTGAAACACGGTTCTCACGTAGCTCAGGCCATACTCAAACTCCATATATATCCAATGATGATTTTTAATGTCCCATCTTCTTGCTTTCTTCTTCTTCTGGGTGTGCACACAGTGTTGGGATTTGAACCCAAGGCTGCTTCACACAGGTCAGGCAAGAACATCCCCTGCCAGCCTGTGTCCCAACCCCGTGGAAGACAAACGGCTTTCTTTCATGGCTTATGGTACCTTTGGGCCGCAGCTGCTTATTTGTGGCTTTTTTCCACTGCAAATTTGTTTGCTTGTCTTATGCAGGGAGGAGCTTGGAAGCACTACAGAGAAAGAGGGGAGGTGTTGTATTGAGGGGGGCAGCATTCTTCCTGCACTCCAGGGAGAGTCAGACACGCATGTGTAAGTAATCCTGACCTCCGACACTTCCCAGCCCAGCTCCCACACAGGACGGTTTGTTAACCATGCAGGGGAGCAATAGTGGGGTCTGTGAGTATGACTAAAGCTAGGCTGAGGCAGAGGTTCCCGGTGTGACCAAGGGTGGTGCACAGTAGGAGGTGGGGTCAAGGTCCTGGGCAGAACCTTCTTTCTGTCAAATCCCAGCACTGATGCCGGCCATCTCTTCTGTTGTGTTCTCTGGGAAGCACAACTAAGGTGGGTTGGTGGAGATGGGGCTATGCCTCGTGTGTATGCTGGCCACAGTGGCTGCATACTCCTTCCCAGAACGAAGGCGAGGATGGAACCAGACCCTTCCTGTGAAGCACCAGGGCCATGCTCACAACTCTGGTTGTGAAATAGTCTTGCTCTCTGAAAAGCAGCCCTGCCCTCCCTAGAGTGTCCTGACATCCCACAGCCACAGGCATGCACAGTGCTCAGTCCCCTGTCTTGGACCGGACTTGGTTAACTGAAGTTGCCGGGGCCCCCACACATGAAAACATCCACATCCTTGGCCGTCGATGGTCACCGCCCTCCTCCCACCTTCTCTAATGTGGCAGGAACAGAGATGTCATTGAGAGCCCTCAATGCCGGGATGAGGCAAGATCGGCTCTGGGATTGCACACTGTTCTTGAAAGAGGAGTGACTGGCCCACTGGCACCTGGAACCCAGGACCCAGGAGGTGAACCCAGACGGACCTGAGGAGGGCTGTGTCCTGTGTCCTTAGGAGGCTGCGCACTGGTCAGTGTGTGTGTGTGTGTGAATTTGTGGGACTGGATGTGAATAGGTGTAGGGGTATGTGTATGTGTGTTGTATGTGTGTGTTTATTGTGCATAGTGCATATGTGTATATGGGACTATGTGGGAGTGGGTGGGGATGGGTATGAGCTCATGAGCGCATGAATGTGTGTGTGTGTGTGTGTGCGCGCGCGCGCGCGCGCGTGCGCGTGCAGAGACTGGTCAGGACCCCTACCAGGTGCATCTCAGGGCAAGTTAGAAGGTGGGAAAAATACAGGCTTTGCAGTTGGCAAGGTCAGGCTCAGAGCTGCTCTGCAGCTTTCAGGCTAAATGAGCACAAGCATGAACTTCATGGCTCTGAGTCTCAGGGTCCTCAATGGAAGCCTTGGAAAGGGAAACCCTGTTTTCTGTGGCATCTTGCATTGGAAGCAGTGGGGCTAGAAACAGGTTTGACAAATACATCGAGTCCCTCTGCCTTGCTGTGATGGAAGAGGCAAGGGTCTTTGCTCAAGAACACAGCAGGGAGGCAGGGAGACCTCATCCCAAATTCTCATCCTTGGCCCTTTTAGCCAAGGATAGCCTTGAAATCCTGATGCTCATGCCTGCATCTCTCTGTGCTAGGATTACAGGTATCACCACTATGCCCAGGTCATTGAACTCTTTTTTTTTTTTATGTTTTTTAATTAATTTATTTTTTACACCTCCCATCTGCTCCTCAGAGAGAGTACTCATTGAACTCTTGATAATACTTCCTAGACTTGAGATGTTACTCAGTTGGCCGAGTGCTTGCCTAGCAATCGCGAAGTCCCAGGTTCAATCCTCAGCACCATGTAAGCCAGGTGTGATGGCCACACACCTGTAATCCCAGCGCTGGAGAAACAGGCAGGAAAGCTGGTTCATACTCATCCTTAGCCACATAGTGAGTTTGAGGCCAGACACTGTCTCAAAAAACCAAAAGTACTATTGACATCCCTAACCCTCAGCTCCCTTAGGTCAGGGCCCTTTACTTCAGACAAACAAAAGCCGGGAGGAATTCTGTCCCCTCCTACAGCCCTCCCACTGATAAAGCAGAGATGGTGGTTTATCTGGGGGAGGTGGGCAGATCTGAAAAAGAAACAGACATGCTGTGTCTCCAAGGGCTGGCAGAGAGCTCACAAAGCCAAGCCAAGCCACAGACACTAGCTGTACCTTCTGGCTGATTGTGGCAGTGGGGAGGAAGTAAACAGCCTCCCTAACTCAGTCTGGATGAGAGTCTCTTGAGAAGGGTGTCTGGCTTGAGGCTGTGTTCTTTCTGCTGGGAAGCGTGAGGCCCACCCCAGCCTGTCTAAGGGGATCAGGTGACTAAAAGCCCAGGGCAGAAGACCAATATGCAAGCAGGGTTCAGGGAGAGCCCTGTAGGTTTCATGGAGGGGGCAGTGAGCCATGGGAGGCCCTGAAGATCCTAAGAACCAGGGCAGCAGGCAGGGCCCTGGCCTTGGAGTGGGGCAGGGGAAGTGAAGGTACCCGTCCCACAGCTGAACATGGCCAGGCGGCCAGGAGCCTTCTTATGGCTGTAGCTGACAGAGCCTCCAGCTGAGTGCAGATGGCCTCCCTCATGTCCCAGGCAGATACCTGTCCCTGTTTCCATTATGGCCAGGAGAGTGGAGATGGGGATTCTTGGGGAGGCTTATGGTAGAGAGCAGGGGCCACTGCCTGAGGCAGCCAGCACAGAGATGTGTGAGAAGATGGCAGGTCCCTGTCTCAGATGCAGCAGAGTTGGTGTGAATACAAAACTGCTTTGAGAGAACAAGTTGTGGGTCTGGAGAGATTGTCCAGTAGTTAGAGCACCGGCTGCTCTTCAAGACAACCTGCTTCTGGCTGGGCAGTGGCGGCGCACGCCTTTAGTGCCAGCACCTGGGAGGCAGAGGCAAGCGGATCTCTGTGAATTGGAGGCCAACTACTTGGTCTACAGAGTGAGTTCCAGGACACCCAAGACTACACAGTGAAACCCTGCCTCGAACAGGAAGGGAAGGAAGGAAGAAAGGAAGGAAGGAAGGAAGAGGAAGCCTGGGTTCTGTTCCCAGCACCTGCATGGTGGCTCACAGCCATCTGTAACTCCAGTTCCAGGTCTGATGGCTTCTTCTGACTGCCACCTGCACCAGGCATGAATGCAATGGACATACATACATGAGGCAAAGATACTCATATCCATAAAACAAAACAAATCTAAATAAATAAAAATATTTTAAAAAGAAAAACCAAGTCCTAAGCTTTTTGTGGTGCTTGGGGTGGCCCATGCCTAAGAGCCCAGCACTAAGGAGCTGGAGTTTAAGGAGTCAGGGGCCTGCCTGGGCTATATGAGACCCTGTCAGGAGGAAGCGGGAGGGGGAGAGAGGGAGGGAATTTGGGAAGGGAAGGGAGGGAGGGAGGGAAGGAAGGAAGGAAGGGACCTTACAATTCTGGGGTACTATTTTTATACATACAGTTTCCAGGGCCTCATTTTCACCTGCTGCCAAAAGAACCTGAATGCTTGAGAATTCTAGAAGCATCTAGGCAAAGAGCAAGAGGCATCATATAGACATGGTAAGACTAGGCCTGGTTTTTAAGCAAAATTTCCTCTTTGTTCTCAGCAGAGTCAAGATGACCACAGCCACCACTCTGGGGGACGCCATCTTCTCACTGAACATGACCAGAGGAGAAGACTTCCTGTATAAGAGTAAGGTGGACTTTGGGGGAAAGTTGCCAAGGCCAGCTTCAGGGTCAACTTCCTAGCCCACCGCTTGCTAACCTCGTGTGTGCTTCCTTTGCCCTGGGCCTCGGTTTCGTTGCCTGGGAGATGGGGATACCCCACAGGAGGTTGCTGTGAAGACTCAAAGGAGCAGTGGGGAGGGCGTGGCCCCTGTAGATGCACCCTGGGTTCGGCAAGCACTAGGACAAACAATGTGGCCTCAGCCTGCTGCCCCCACTCCTCTCCAGCAAGTCCTGGAGTCTAGGGAGTGATGGAAGCTTGAATCTCTTTCAAGAGACTAAAATAGGTCTCCTTGAAAAGTAACTACTTACAAATGTGGGGGCACACACCTTTAATTCTAGCACTGGGGAGGCCAGGAGGATCTCTGTGAGTTTGAAGGCCAGCCAGAGCTACAGAGTGAGACGCTGCCTTGATGGCATTAAAGAGTAGCACTCACATACTACTTTTTAAAAAGCAAAATATCCTGCCTACTTCTTTTGGTTTTATGAGCATCGGTATTTTGCCTGCCTGCATATCTGTATGAGGGTGTTGGGTACCCTAGAAATGGAGTTACAGACAGTTGTGAGCTGTCATGTGGGAACTGAGAATTGAACATGGGTCCTCTAGAACAGCCAGTGCTCTTAACTGCTGAGCCATCTCTCCAGCCTCTCCTGCCTGCTTCTTAATGGGCAAATTAATGAAGATGGGAATGGGTTAGTCCTGGGAAATGTTTACCAAGAACCAGGGGTTCCCAGGATAAGAAAAGCCGATGACAGCTCTTCAGAAAGCCAGGCCCAATGTGCAGCTCAGCTGGTAGAGGGCTTGCCTAGCAGGCATGAAGCCCTGGGTTTGATTCCTAGCTGGATAAACTGGGTATGGTGTTGCACATACACGATCCCATCACTGGGGATCATGTCATCTCAGCTAATAACAATGTTTGAGGCCAACTTGAGCTACATAGAATTCTGTATACTAGTTTGTTTCTCCATTGCTATAATGTTCACCATGACTAAAACTAACTTGGGGAGGAAGGGGTTTATTTTAGATTACAGTTTACAGCCCATAATCAGGGCAATCCAGGCACTTCCTGGAGGCAGGGGCTGAAGCAGAAACCATGGAGGAATGCTGCTTACTGGCTTGCTCCCATGGCTTTCTCAACCTGGTTTCTGATACAACCCAGGACCACCCACATCCATCATTAATGAGAAAATATCCTGCAGATCCAGGTCCACAAGCCAATCCGTTTGTGTCAAGTTGACACAAACTAACTAGTAAAACATGAAAAGGACAAAACAGCTGTGTAAGGAGTGTGTGTCCCTTTCAGCCTTTCCCGTCATTGACCTGTTCACTCTGCATATGGTTCGGGCATCCCTGGTAGCAGGTTCAGTTTCTGCACTGGGGCAGGGGACAACTTCAGGCCTTGGAGCCTGCAGGTGGCTAGATGGAAGGCAGGGTGCATCCCTTCCATAGGGACCCAGAAGGGGTGATTTCAGGACAGGGTCACCAACTCGCACACACTCCATCTTGTCTGTCACCAGCTCCCCCTGCACACACATACCCCTTTGTTCTAATCCTTGCTGGGATAGGCATCCATTTGGAAGCAGCCCAATATGTCTCAAACAGTCGTGGTGGGAGCCTCGGGAGGGGAATGACTGAAAGCCAGATAGAAATGATTCTGTGTTTGCTTTGAGACAAGGTCTCCATAGGTAGCCCAGGCTAGGCTGGAACTTGCAATCCTCCTGATGCAGCCTCCAGAGTAACTGGGGACACAGGATTGTGTAATCTATTCTTTATATTTAGCAAATCTTTGTAAAGGCATTAAAAAGTGCACACATTTGTGTCACCAACACCCATATCAGGAAACAGAGAATACCAATGACTCCAAGGTCCTGTTCCCTAAAGGAGGCCACCAAATACTGATATGCTGATTAGTTGTATATGGCTTCGAATCTGAGTGAGTGGAAAAAGAGCCATATTATTCTTTTGTATCTTGCTTCTTTTTATCTGATTTTTAAAATACACAACAGTGTGTCTGCATGTCGGTGAAATGCACTGTGTGTGTAATACCTGTGGAGGCCAGAAGAGGATGCCAAACACCCAGAGACTGGAGTTACTGATGGTTGTAAGCCATTGTGTGGGGAACTGACCTTGGGTCCTGTGCAAGAGCAGTCAGTGCTTTTTTTAATTAATTAATTTATTTTTATGTACATTGGGGTTTTGCCTGCCTGCATGTATGTCTGTGTGAGGATGCCAGATGCCCTGGAACTGGAGTTACAGATAGTTGTGAACTGTCATGTGGTGCTGGAAATTGAACCTGGGTCTTTTGGAAGAGCAACCAGAGTGGCCAGTGCTCTTAACTGTTGGGTCTTCTCTCTATATAGTCCCTATTCCTGAAATCTGAAAAGGCTTTATTGTTTTAATTTCATTTTATTATTTTTTGAGACAGGGTTTCTCTATGAAACAATCCTGGCTGTCCTGAAGACCAGGCTGGCCTTGAACTCACTGAGATCCACCTGTCTCAGCCTTCCAGGTGCTGGAATTAAAGGCGTGTGCCACCATCACCCAGATGAACAAGATTTTATATGCACATACATGACTACATGGATGAATGCATAGGTGTAGACCACCAGTGACTCATCCTCTCCTATGTTTTGCTTATTTTTATATTTTCAAAATATTCCCAAAATCACATCAACTGCATATTATCAAAAAGAGGGGAGGGAATCTTGCTGATCTGTTCCAGATGTTGAGAGCTGTGCTTGGGCAGTTAAAAGTACTCAGGCATTAGTAGTGGCGCGTGCCTGCAACCCCAGCCCTTGGGAGACAAAGGAGGAGAATCAGGAGTTTGAGGCCAGCCTGGGCTACATGGGAGTCAGTTCCTTACTGCTGTTCCAGAACATCTGAAAACAAATCAACCTAAAGGGGAAAAGGTTTGTGTGAGCTCAGGGCTCAGTCCTGGTGGCTTGGCTCTATCACTGTGGGCCTGAGCTGAGGCAGTATCAAGCAGAGGGGGCATGGTGAGCTGCCTACTCATAACGGCTGGAAGGCAGAGAAAGATAGAGTGGAGACATGGAAAGGTGATCTTCAAAAACCCCTAGTGACCCACTTCCTTTCATTAGGCCCATCCCCCACACAGTTTCTGTCGTCTCTCAATAGTGTTTGAGGTCCTCATGTTCCAATCAATGATCAGTCATTCAGCCTTCCAGCGGGGGACCATTATCATGTGAGATTTGGGGGGACATTTTATATCCAAATCATTCATGACAAGTGCCCACTGAAGACCCTCCAATCTGCATGTCTGCTCATGCCTTCATCATCTCTGCTCTTAGTTTGTATTTCAATTCATTTACGTTTTTATTGTGTGTGTGTACGATGTGTGTGGTGGATTTGCTCATGTATGTTCATGTTGGCATGAGCGTGCCATGACACATATATGGAGGTCAGAGGACACCTTCACTGTCAGTCCTGCCCTTCTACCTGGAGCCTGCAAGCTTCTGGGGATTCTCCTGTGTCTGCCCCCACCCCACCCCACCCCTGTGCCTGTGGGAGCCCTGGGATCATCATGCAGGAAGACTCAGCTTTGTTTGCCAGGAGCTTCTTCCCACTTTCAGTTCCCTCTCTTCTGCAGGTTCTGGGGCCATTGTGGCTGCCATCGTGGTGGTTGTCATCGTCATTGTCACCTTGGTTCTGATCCTGCTGAAGCTGTACAACAGGTATAGGATGCCCAGGACTGCCTGGGTCTCCCCTAACACACTCCTCCTCCCCCGTTCCTGGTGCAGAGTGTTAGCTCACCTATTCCAGGGTGGCTCTGCCCTCTTTGTCAGAGCTGAGGTTTAAACCCAATCCATCTGGTTTCAAGGAAAATATTCCCCCATAACATGAAACAATAACGGGATGTGGTTCAATGGGTAGAGCACTTGCCTAGCACACATGAAGGCCTGGGCTTGGTCCCCAGCACTGCATAAATAAGTATGGTGCCACTCAGGAGGTAAAGGCAAGAGGATCAGACGTATAAAGTTATCCTCAGCTACATGATGAATTCAAGGCCAGCCTGGGCTATATAAAACCCTGTCTCAAAAACAACGATAGCAGCATCCAGTGCTATTTTTAAAGTCTTTGGAGTGTTACCATGGGAACCTATTGGAAACTAGGAGGTGATGTTGAATTCCAGGCCTCCTGTCCTTCTGTCCATCATTGCTGAAGCTTTGATTGACATGTGGGTGGGTACCCTGTCACCTCACACTGGTTACACTGATGTCTGCTGGAAATAAGAAAAAGTTTTTAAGGGATTAGGATCTATCGATGGATGAGATATCACAAAGACATCAGAACTCATTATTGTTAGCTATCGAATCTTACAGTATATAAAATGAAGATAGGATATACATTTTTGCTAGATTATTTAAGACAGAGTCTTCCTATATAGCCCAGGCTAGCCTCAAACTCTTGTTCTTCCTTCAGCCTCGAAAGTCCTGGGATTTTAGACTTTTTGTTTGGTTGGTTTTTGGTTTTTGGTTTTTGGGGTTTTTGGTTTTGGGTTTGGTTTTTCGAGACAGGGTTTCTCTGTGTTGCTTTTGAGCCTAAAACTAGATCTGTAGACCAGGCTGGACTCGAACTCACAGAGATCCACCTGCCTCTGCCTCCGAGCGCTGGGATTAAAGGCATGCATCACCAACGCCTGCCACATAAGATGTTATTAAATGTTCCCAGCAAAATACTTAGCGTACATGAGCACGCTGCAACTTTTGAGGATCCACTTAGTCTTTTTTTATTATTATTATTAATTTATTTTTTACATTTCAGTCCCAGTTTCCCTTCCCTCCTCCCTCCGCCCACCTCCCATCTGCTCCATGGAGAGTGTAGAGCCTCCCCTAGGAAGTCTACTAAGTCTGTCCCATCATCTCATTGAGGCAGGACCAAGGCACCCCCCCCACCCCCCCCACACCCCTGTGTCTAGACAGAGCAAGGTGTCTCCATATAGAACAGGCTCCACTAAGTCAGTTTGTGCATTAGAGTTAGATCTGGAACCCATTGCCAGTGGCCTCATATATTGTCCCAGCCGCACCACTGTCTCCACTTAGTCTTGAATGCAGCCACTGCTCTGACTCCATTCGTTGTCAGGGGCAGAATGAAGCTTAGCAGTTTAAAGTTAAACAGAACCTTCTCCAGTGAGCCAGGCTGGCGTTGAAGGTCCATCCCAATTGTAACAATATGACTTTATGATGAACCATCATCATGGGGCCCATTCCTCACTGTCTCTTGCAGGAGAATGAGAACCAGGAGGGAGCTGGAGCCCAAGAGCCCAAAGCCACCTGTGCCTCCTCCCCTGGACCCAAACAGCAACGGCCCCCAGCAGCCTGCAACTGTGACCTTCAGCCCTGCAGATATCCAAGTGGAGTCTCGGTGACCCTGCCCTGGCGCCACCCCTGCCTCTGCAAAGAGCTTTGAGGACCCGGAGGCACACGCTTCTGGCAGCTTCACTGAGTTCTCTCTGCTTGGGTAAACTGAGGCCCCTTTCATACAACCCCGCAGCTTGAAGCCATCCTTAACTGTGTTCTGCATGGCCATCCCAGCTGTGTCCATATCCCTGCTGCCACTATATCAGAGAGCTAAGGACAATCTTCTGTCACCTGATAAGAAGAACTATGCTGAGGATACTGGTGTGAGTCTGCTTCTTGCCCCACAAATGCTATAGCTATATAGACAGATAGCTAGACAGACAGACAGACAGACAGACAGACACTCAATTGTTCTGGTCAGGAGTCAGTGAGTGCTAATGATAATGTCACCCAGGGTCTGCCAATGAGAGCATCGTCTTAAGTGTCTTGTCCACAACTTTTGCAGAGCAAATTCTCAATCCCTATCAGGCGTAGAGAAACTAACTTTGACTAACCACAAAACCAACTTGGTAATGTCTAACCTAGATTCCAGTCCTAGATGACCGATAGCCAGCTCATGATGGCTGGCCAGAATATTCCTCCCCTTAGGAGACAACAAAGGGTGTTAGAGGCTGGACTTGGTAGCACATGCCTCTCATCTCAGCACTCAGTAGAGGTAGCAGCATTCTGATTACATGGCCAGCTTTGGCTGTACAAGGAGATGTTCAATTTAAAAGATATTACAAAGTAAACAGTATTCTCCAAAAATTTCTACTTCATTAGTAGCCAGGAGAAGGCACCCTGAGGAGAAGAGGCTAGCTCTAGGATGAGGAGCAAAGGTTAGCTCTAGGATGAGGAGCAAAGGCTAGCTCTAGGATGAGACACTGTTACGGTGCCCATGGACCTGGGCTGTGTGGTACCTGCCCAGGACCCTTCTTGCTGCCCAGGTGGACTATCCTTACTCCTCATTTTTCTGGCGCCCTTTTATTTGTATATTAAGCTTTCTTGAGAGTCTCCTTGCCTCTGGGACAAGTACTTTGGGGCCCATTAAATTCTGCATTTCCTGTGTCCTTCCTAGTCACCTTGCAGAGACAGTCAACACACAACACAAACTATTCTCTGTGGCATCTGATCTCTGAGCCCTGGGCCAGAAGATGATCCATTAGCAGGGACAAACATTTCAGATTTAAGATTTACACCCAAAACTGAGTGATGGTGGCGGCACATGTCTTTAATACCAGCACTTGGGAGGCAGAGGCAGGGGGGATCTATGTGATTTTGAGGCCAGCTTGGTCTACAGAGGAGCACCAGGACAGGCTCCAAAGCTACACAGAGAAACCCTGTCTCTAAAAACAAAACAACAACAACAAAAAGATTTGCATCTAAGCTGCAAATGAACAGCTCATTTGATGGCTCGGTAGGTACAGGCAGCGAAGCCTGACAACCTAAGTTCAATATTCAGGACCCACACGGTGGACAGAGAGAACAGATTCCTGTAAGCTATTCTCTCATCTCTACAGATGTGCTGTGGTACACCACAGACACAATAAACAAACAGGTAGATGAAGGAATCATGGTGGCTTGCTGGCCGCCAGCCTGGATTCAGGATCAGTGAGGAAGCCTGTGTCACAGGAGTGAGACAGAGAATAATAGAGCAGCCCATTTGATGTCCTCCTCTGGCCTCCAGATATGCTCACATGGAATCATGTGCCACACACAGAACCCACATACACACACATAACAGTCTTCTGAGACAAGGTCTCTAAGTAGCCCTGACTGGCCTGGAGCTCATTATGTAGACCAGGCTAGCCTTGAATCAACAGAGATTCTCCTGCCTCTACTTCCTAAATGCTGGGATTAAAGGTGCTCACCAGCTTCCTGTTTAGGCCCTGCACAAGCCCTAACATATAATGCTTCCCTGGCCATTTTCTGCTTTCAGAATAAAACAAAACAAAAACAAACAAAACCCTTACGCTGCCGGATACCCACCTTCTAGGGGCCCTTCCCTCCATCCCCAGTACTTGGGGGAAAAAATCAGCTGGAATGTTCCAGTCTTAAAACTAACCTCTCCCACCCACAAGAAACTCTTTGTTTGATAATTAACACTTGGGAAGAGGTGAACAGAATGTGCGGAGTGGGATCAAGTGAGCCGATTTATTGTTCTGCTTTTCAATAGTGAAGCTAAGCCAGTGAGGCTCCCGTGGTGGCTCTGTGCATGGTGAGGGGTTCCTCAGTGCAGGAAGACAGGGCCCTGGTTTCAGCTGCAAAGGGAGCAGCCCTACTTGTTTCCTGTTCTGATAGGTAACTCTGTCAGCTGGGTGGATTCTCCTTCAAGTGGTGGCCGTGGAATCAATGAAAGATGAAAGATTAAATGCACATGTTTTAAAATAAAGAGATTTAAATCAAGCATGTGTTATTCATTTCAGTTATGTAGTTATGTGTAGTGCTAACAAATGCCTTTAAAAAAAAAAAATCTCCCTTTCAAGCTGGGTGTGGTGACTCATGCTTAGAGTCCCAGAACTAAGAGTCTGGTTCTGGAAGAATGTCACAAGTTCGAGGCCAGCCTTGGCTACATAGAGCACTGGGAAAGAGTGAGTGGCCACAATCAGACCTTTCAACTTGCTGTTCAAATGTGACAACATGAACTTTTTGTAGCCTGAAGCTAAACACCAAAGGCTCTGAGTTGTCAAGAACTTGGAACCACTGGGGTGTAGGAGATATCAGTATGAACATCACGTCACCAGCAGCAATATTTACCATAAACTATATCCCCACCGTGTACCAGACACACCACTGGTCATGTGGACCCAACAGTCCCTTTGATCCTCTCTAGTTCCCATGTGAACTAGACATGCAGTACACACTTGTAATTCCAGCACTTGGAAAGCTGAGGCAGGAGGATGACAACTTGTTGGCTGGGGATGTAGCTTAATGGCAGAGTGCTTGCCCTAGCATGGATGAAGTTCAGGGTTCCATCCCCAGCACGGCACAAAATCTGGTGTGGTGCAACCTGTAATCCCAGCATTTTGGAGGCGGTAACAGGTGAGGTCAGTAGCTGAAGATCATCTTCAACTAACAAGTTTGGGGCCAGCCCAAGAGACACAAGAGTTTGTGTCAATGACAACAAAGAACAACAAAATTAACTTAAGCAATTTTGCTTCCTCTGAACCCTTCACAGCACAGGCTGTTTTGAGAATCTTGAATTTCTAGTCATTTGATGTGTGTGCAGTGAACTCTTGATATGGCTTTAATTTGTATTTCCTAAAAGCTAATGGGGCATTCCCCCATTTGTTTAATGGCCATTTTTATATCATTGTAAAATTACCTTTCAATCCATTGTTTTATTTAGTTCTTCTTCTTTCAATGTTGACTTAAAGAGTTTTACAAAAAAAAAGTAAGTCATTTGCCAGCCCGTGGTTTGCCTTTAAAAACAAAGAGATTGCTCAGGGATTAAGGGCACTGACTGCTCTTCCAGAGGACCAGAGTTCAATTCCCAGCATTCACACTGCAGCTCACACCTGTCTATAACTCCAATTTCAGGGGACCCTGACACCCTTGGCAAAAACACAAATGCACGTAAAAAATTAAAAATTAAAAAAAAAACAGACTAAATACAATCAAGTTGACATCAAAGACTTAACGGTCTCCCTGGCCTGTTGAGGTCAGAGGACAGCTTGCAGAGCAAAACCTGCTGAGGCATCTTGCAAAGGGCTGATTTTCATATGCAAAACCAACCTTACATTAGATAAACTAAGTCCAGCTGGGCATGATGGGAAACACCTGTCATCCCAGCACTCAGGCGTCAGAGGGAGAAGGACTGTCACCAGCAGAGGCCAACCTGGGGTACAGAGGAGACCTTGCTTCAGATAAAATCATCATTGTCGTCATCGTCTGACTTAGTCCTGGCATAAAATTTCTTGTATATGTTGGTTCTGGAAACAGAAGGTCTGATGTGTTCATGTATTATTATTATAAAAGTCAAGAGTGACCTCTGATACAGTGACGCCTTTTTTCCCTCTTCTCTCTTTTTCCATGCATATACACACCTGTGTACATCTGTTCCCCCACAAAGGTATTTATGAAGGCCAGGGGATGCTGATGTTTCTGTCCTCTCCCTTGGAGGCAGGAGCTCGCTCACTGAGTCTACAGCTCTTCATTCTTTTGGCTAGGCTAGTGGTGGCCCATAAGCCCCAGAGATCCTCTTGTCTCCATCTTCCTCCAGTGCTGAGGTAATGAGTGGGAGCAGCCAGGCCCAGCTTTTTTACACCTGTTCTGCAGATCCAAACTCAGGCTTGCATGGTAAAGGCTCTTTACCCACTGCGCCATCTCCCCAGACCCCCCCCCTTTTTTTTTTTTAAAGACAATGTAACTGAGAATGACTTTGAATTTCAGATCTTCCTGCCTCTACCTCTGAGTTCTAGGATTACAGGTCTGCACACCTAAACCACTACACTTAATCTCTGTGCAGTGAATACAGTGTCCCACTTTACTGAGCCACATCCTACCTGTCCTATATTTTCTTCCAAATGTCACAGTATTGACTCCAGGGTGCGTGTGTTCGGGTGTGTATGCATGTGTCTGTGTGTTCTTGATTTCCATACAGGAAATACCTACTTAGCCCAGCGCCACTTCTCTCCCCTGCTTTCCTGTAGTGTCGCCGTCTCAGGAATGGAATGGCAGCATTTGTGACTTGGAGAGAAAGTGCATTGATCAAAATACAGCAGAGACAGCAGAAGGAAAAGCAGAGCAAACTCCAGGAACTGAAGGACACCAGTCACGTGCTAGTTCTCACGTTCTTGCTCAATTTCCTGGGTGTAAATCAACATCAGGGTAAAACAGACATGGCCTGAAGTCTGCTAGAACTCACCCCTCACAGTGGAGACAGACACCTAAACACCATGCAGAGCAAACCTTTGTTCGGCGGAAGGCCCTTTGAGGTCTACTGTCTGAAGATGGTGCTGTGAGCCCTGGGAAGAATGAGAAGGAACAAAGAGAGAGAAAGAAGGAAGCTATGCAGGACATTGACACTTTCATTGAGCAAACATCCAAAAAGATAGAGGTGGGTGAGGAAGAGGAGGGAGGGTCCAATCAGTGTGCTTCCTTGTTTTAAAGGCAACAAAGAGCTGTTGAAAATCCCTGGGTTGCTCAGTGGGTAAAGACACTTGCTATCAAACCTAAAGACCTGGGTTCAAACCCCAGGACCCATCTATGGAAGGCAAGAACTGACTCCCGAGGATATCCTCTGACCGCCACACG